GATCTATGGGCTTGGGACTGTGGTTGCTGGGGACATCAAGCTCAAATGGCATGATATACTACACAAAAACACTGTTCTACATCCTAATTTGCTGAGTAGCGACTGGTCTTAAAAGCTTGCAAGCAGCCATCAAGATGCAACGATGGTCTCCCATTGTCCAGAGCAAAGAAGAATGAAGAAAACCAAAGACACACAGAAACAATTAGTCCATGGGATTAGTAAACCATGTGATCCTCAGCCTATATGACCATGAGACCAGAAGAACTAGATGGTGCCTGGCTACCACTGTCAACCACTTGGAGGGGGATCAGTGCAAGAGATCCTGGATAGAGTGGGAGAACAGTGTGGAACAAAACTTAAAATTCAAAATCATTATTTTTTAAAAAAAGGACCAGGTTTGCAGGTCTAATGCAACCTGGTGTGAGACCCCTGGGACTATAAACTTTAGTTTCCCTTCAGGTCTGGAACTAAACTCACTCCTGTGGCTTCCAGCCAAACAACCGACAGGCACATGGGATGAACATTTACATCAGGAAGATACACTCCCTGGAGCGATGCGGGAGAACAGATGGGCAGTGTTTGCACAGGAAGATAGCTCAGGGGATGGGAGTGCGAGGGAGGGAAGGACACAGGGAAGAAGTAACTACAGGGAGGAAGTGGGAAGACAGCTGTTACATTTTGGCGAATTGCAGTCAACATCATGAAACAAAATATGCATGAAATGCTGTATGGAAAATGAATTTGCTCTGTAACTTTTCACCCAAATCACAATAAAAAATAAAAAGCAAGAATAAATCTATACTCTAGCCTGACCACCCCACCCCCTTAAGTAATGAAACAGTCTTAATAACTACATAGTTGAAGAGCAGGCTCTAGATCCACCTTGATCTCAGAAAAGTACTGCTAGGTGCCATGTACACAGAACCTTCTAAATCACAATGTGTTCTATAATAGTACCCCATCAATTTTTCTAACAATACATTTCACAATGGTGATTTTGATGTTAATTATCTAAATATTTATATATTACTATTCAAGTCTACATTTTACAAGACAGGTGTATTTTCAACAGCTGTACAATCTGATGTTATTGTTATTTTTACATACCTGCTTCAGTTTTTCATCTGTGAGACAGTTAAGTTCAATAATAAACTCACTGTCTGTAGGGGAGATTTGAGCAGAAGGATCAATGATTTTAATAATATCAAGTTGCTCCCGGAGACCCATCTCAGTACTGACTTTACGACTCAGATACTCAATATACTCCACCTATATGATGAAAAATTACAACAAACAAGATCAATGCTAAAACCTCTGATCCGTTAGTCATTTATAATGTGTCACATATCAGAAGCACCTAGTATTATATTTGTTCCCTGCAAAACATTTAGTTAAAGCTCAAAATCAGATTTACTAATAAGCAATTCAACATTTACCCTGTAGCTTTAAATGAGCAATAAAGTGAGTTTCATGTATTTTCCACAAATATGCTTTTAATTAAGAATGACGAGATCTCTACCTGCTCATCATTTGTCATTGCACTCCAAGGAAGTTCATCTAAATTCCGGTGCTTGTTTTTCTTTTTTGGAAGCAGGCAAGGAGAACTTGGAATACTGGGTATGACATCAGAAAGTACATCACTCCCACTGGCAATGTCACTGCCTGGTAACTTTGTAAAAACAAGGTGGTGGGTAGGGAAAGCACAATTTTTAAAAATTACATTTTAAATACCACAGCATATTTCACATTGATTAAAAGTTACTTTAACATAAGACAAATGGCAAATACAGAATAAGAGGACATTAATTCTTGTCCATGTCTATTCTAGACAAAGCAGCAATATCAATATACTCTTTGTATACATTCACTCATTCAGTTAAAGATATTTTCCAAAAGTGTAAAATCATAACCAAGACCTGTTAATATGCTAATTTAAGATTCAATCATCAAGGTTTTTAATTTTTAATGTAAATTAGGAGCACTGATCTGTATCACAGAAGATCTGAGAGAGCTGTACTAAGTGGCTTTTTGCCAGATAACTGTGCTACATACCACCAATATAAAGCTAACATGGTCTTCCATCTTCAAGTTTGTATCAACAAACTCAAGACATTAAAATAGTTTAAAGAGTCACCTTTTAGCAAAATAACAGAATGGCTCACAAAACAAAGAATATCACCTGTATGTACTATGCTCCTTTCAAAATCATCTATATGAGACCAAATGGTCAACATCACTCTAAAGCAAAAATAAGATGGCAAGGGGGCAAAGAAACTAGATTACTGGAAGTGGAGCAATCAGAACAGAAATAATGAGCATTTTACGCATCATGAAAAAATGTAACCAGTCACTGAACAATTTTTGTAGAAACTGTAGAATCTTGAACATAAATTGCTGTGTAAAACTTCACTGAAAACACAATAAAGTATTACTTTAAAAAAAAACAGTTTAAATATGCTGTTAGTGTTCAGCAAGACACTTTACAGATCAAAAGCATTATAAATGAAAAACATGATGAGAGAAAGTGTAAACAAAGGAGAAAGATAAGAAAGCCTAATAGAAAATCAACTCTGTTTAGATTAATTTTTAACAATGTGCTAATTTTATATTGTCTATTAAAAAACAGTAAACATTACCAATTAGAATGGATTTAATTTTCATCAAATGTCTGTCTTTCAACAAACAGATGAAATATTTTCTTCTACAAGGATTATAGCAATTTTCAAAGATACTGGTTTCATCTTTACAAAGTACAAAACAGTGCCTTTTTTGTTGTTTTTTGTTTTACCAATTTGGTAATAATATCAGAACTCTGGATGTTTAAGTATCCTCCCCACTTTCTGAAAGTCTGCTTTATGCCACTTTGCTTTTATGGAAGACCTACATTAATACCTGTTTTCGCTAACCAAAATAAATCCAGAGCAAGGTGAAACTAGCATCCAGCTTGTCTTGCAGAGAGCCATAATAAAAGAGGCAGCCCGTACCCAAGCAGCAAGTGGCACCACCAAGCTCCTTTTCCAGGAACTACATTGTTCACATGTTATTTCTACATTATATAGGCCGTGGATTTATTATGTCTTTCCTGATTTTACCATATGTTAGTGTTATTTAAAGTTTCATGTGTTACTTGGTATGGTTTTGGTAGGTTATTTTTGGGGCCTAGAAACACTCAAAAATTTGTCCCATATAAATAATGGTAATTGCTTCTTCGCTTTACTCCACTTTGCTTACAAAACATTTCAGAGGAATGCTCTACTTATGGATAGCAGGGGAAACCTGAAGTAAGTTTTTGAAGTTGCCAAAACAGAAGAGCTATCTTAAGCATGAAGACTATTGCAATTACATGTATTTGGACTCCTATTGTACACACAGCATTATAATGGATAAAGGGGATATAAAGGAGTGTTAAGTCCTGACCCTTACACAGAACTTTATGCTCTACTTGGGAAGTCACTATGATAACACAAATATACTATTATAAAACACAGCACATAACAAAGGCTAGTTTGAGACAGTGGGTTCTCAACAGAAGTATCGAGCAACTGGCTGAGGCTGCAGGACTAAAACAGGAGAGAACTATAAGAGACTGCAGACAGGCAAACTAGGGAGCCAATCGAATAGAAGTGATGAGTGAAGTCACAATGGGGTTCATCACTATGCAAGATAAACCATGATATTTAGAGTGAAACTAAGTTAGGAAGAAAGTGTTCTTTCTACACCCATATAAGTATCTAAATCACCCCCAAAAAAACTCACTGCCATCAAGTTAATTCTGAGTCATGGCGACCCCCACTGGGTTTCCAAGGCTATACATTTTTATGTAAGTAGACTGTCTCATCTTCTACCCACAGAGCAGCAAGTAGGTTTGAATCACACACTTTCTGGATAGCAGCTGAATGTCTTACCCACTACACCACCTGAGCTCCTTCTATAAGTATCCACTACTCTTAAAAGTCACATTTTCACTTTGACAGTCATTGATAAATACAAGTACGTAAGAGACTTTCAACAATTTGTATGACTTCCTTTAAAATCCTATGGACACTGCCTTGAATTGGTCACCCTTATCTGGTGGCACAGTACCTAAGGCATTTGACTGTTAACCAGAAGGATGACAGTTCAAACCCACCAGCCTCTCTGTGGAAGGAAGATGGGGCAATCTACTTCCATAAAGATTCAGCAACCTAAAGGGGGTCACTATGAGTTAGGATTGACTCAATGGCAGTGAGTTTGGTTTGGGCTTCGTATCCCTAACACAGAAGCCCTGGTGGTGCAGTAGTTAAAAAAGGTTGGCTGTTAACCAAAAGGTCAGTGGTTTGAACCCACCACCTGCCTACATGACCATGAGACCAGAGGAACTAGATGGTACCTGACTACCACTCAGTGGGGGATGGTGCAAGAAATC